ACTATCACATAATTCACAATAAAACATTTAAGAAAAAAAATCCATAATAAAAATGCAATTAAAAGACCGTGAAAAAAAAATCAGAGCAGTTAGACATTGGCACATATGGGTCGCCATGAGTCAGAGTCAACTCGAAGCGGGTATTTGATATGTGCATGTGTGTATCAGGCACTGTTTTAATACGGTACATAGTCATGTTGAGAGCATAAGTCCAACTGTTTTGCAGATGGAGAGCATGAGACAGATAGCATCTATCTCGTTATGAGAAACTAACACTGCCTGAAAGAATGCTTACACCTCTACCCTGTCTGTTTTTTCAATGTATGTTTAGCTAATTTAGGTTGGAATGTCACTGGTTGTAACAATTGCCCAGTTCTGTGTGGAGCCCTAATCCTGTTTGTGAAGCGCTGATAAGAAGTGACTATCTGGACAAACAGACACCAAGATGGTTAATCATACCCTTCTCTCAGGTGTTTACTGAGGTCTTGTGACTCCCTTGTGATTCAGTGTGAATTTTAAAACTGAAAGTCCATCAGCATGTAGTACATGACTAGCATTGTCAAGAAACGGTATAAATATTACCTGCAACCAAAAGCAAATGGCACACCCATTAAGAAACAGCCTGCTTGTTGTCGGTGTTTCATTAGCCTGGGCTTCCTAATAATAAAATTTCTCTGCTTCACCTGGAGTGATTATTGGTTGGACTCAATTGCTCCAGGGCTTCAAACCCAACATTTGGTGGTAATAGTGTGATCACCCAATAGTCTTAGAATGGAAGTATTATTGTACAGAGGAAGCTGTTGTGGTTCAGAAACATTAATTAATCTGTAGTATAACCATCTGGGGAAAACATATTGTTTGGAGCATTCTCTTTTGCTTGTAAAACCTAAAGTGTGCTTGAAATTAGTGGAGTTAAATTCCCCCATTCCAAACCAAATACACTGTATGGAAAAGAGTAAACTTCTTACACATGATTCTGGTAAGATAGTAACTTTATAAAGGTAAATGGGATTGTGCTCTAGATGATTTCACAGCACATCTTACAACAGCCCTCATATTTTTGTTAATAAAATTTGATCCTGGGTCTTTCTGACTTGAAACTCCATCTCTTGACAATCAATCAATCACTCCAACTCTCCCAAACAAAAAAAGCAGCCACCTAAGCAGGATAACACAGGGGTTACGAGCAAAAGCTCAAGCACATCCCTGTCCTCTGACTGTAACTCTACACATTAATAACCTCTGTAGCATTCCTGCTACCATACAATAGACTGTTGGGTGCTGATGTGACTGTGTGAAATACTTAAAACGAAGCTTAAGTACTTGCTGTGGCACTGTCGGATCAGAACTGGACTGTGATCCACAAGGTCGGCAGTTCAAACCCTATAGGGGGTTGCTATGAGTTGGAACCAACTCAGAAGCACTTAACAACAACAAAGCACTTAATAATTGCCAGATATTATTGCTGTGGAGTCCTGGTGTGGCACCGTGGGCTAATGCACCAGACTGCATTTGAACTGCAAGGTCAGTGGTTCAAGTTCACCAGCTGCTCCTTGGAAACCCTACACAGAGTCATTATGGGTCAGAATCGACTCGATGACACTTAACAACAACAACATTATTGCTGTGATAGCATAGTGGTTACGAATCAGGTTGCTAACCTCAAGGTCAGCAGTTCAAAAACTACCAGCTGTTCCACAGGAGAAAGATGAGGCTTTCTGCTCCCTTAAAGATTTATAGCCTCGGAAACCCTATGCAGGGTCGCTATGAGTCAGAACCGACTCCACAGCACATAACCAACACTGTTATGGCTGTAATTATTAAATACCATAGGACACCGTATAGGGTTTACAAGTAGAGGTAGGTGGATTTGAACCACGGACCTTGTAGTTCAAACTCATCTTGATAAGTGGGATGAAAGTCAAAAAGAGTGGGTTTCTGCTTATTGGTGATTTTGAGCAATAATGCTTACATTTTAATGTGCATACAAATCTCCTGGGGATCTTGTTAAAAACAGATTTTGATTCAGTGGTTGTAGGGTGGGACAGGTGATTCTGCATTTCTGACATGCTGTTGAGCTCCAGACCACATTTTAAGAAGCAAGGATTTAAATAGCTGAAAGAAATAGTTTTGGCCTTAAGCCAGAAGTTAAAAATAAGGAAGTGGGGGAGGGCAGGATTCATGAGAGTCTAGAAAGCCTATGACAAATCAAATTTAGTAACATGAGACCTATCACTTAACTCTTCTGAACAGTTAGTGCCTTATGATTTCTTTCCCCCTAGTAAAAGAGTTGATATAATCTAAACAGATTATTGAACTCTTGAAAAACAAAAACAGTGAGGGAGGAATACTGAAGAAGTACAAGAGACAGAACCAAGAAAATTATTTTTATAGGACTAGCCAATTCTTCACTTAGTTGTTCATATAAATGATTCAAAATAACAATAAAGTTAGCTGGAGACCCTTGTTCTGGGCTACTCTGGCCTTGGCTCCATTTCACAGGGCTTTAGTGAAAGATCTTTGGTACTATCTTCAAGTTGAATGACAAAAGTGCTTTAAAATATGTAAATATACTCAAAACTTTAGCTATACCTACAAAAATGTGGGTCTCTAGTCCTCTCTAAGGAGCTCTGGTAGCATAGTGGTTAGGAATCGGGCTGCGAACCTTAAGGTCAGCAGTTCGAAACTATCAGCCGCTCCACGGGAGAAAGATGAGACTTTCTGCTCCTGTAAAGATTTATAGCCTCAGAAACCCTGTACAGGGTCACTATGGGTTGGAACCGACTCTACGGCACATTAACAACAACAACAGTCCTCTATATTCTTCTAATTCTTGATAAGTAAGGTCCTTATCAAAAAGACTGGATTTGGGAATTATTTCCAAAATAATTTATAAAGCTCTTCTTGGGCTACAAAGAACCATAGCCTTCCCCCATCCCACCCCACAAAAAAAGTGCAAATGTGTAAGTCTAAATCAATGCTTTCCAAGAGAAATGTAATGTAAGCCACATAAGTAATTTAAATTTTTTTAGGAACCACATTATAAAAAGTAAAAATAATTTCAATAGTGTATTTATTTAACTCATTATATCCAAAATATCATTTTAGCATGCAGTATATATATTTAAAAATTATTTATGAGGCATTTTACATTCCACTTCATGTTAGTCTTTGAAATCCAGTAGAAACAGTGAACCTGTCTGATGTTCTACTTTACAATAATAATATCTTACATGATGCAGTGATTAAAGTGAAAAGCAGCCCTTCCAAAGAATGAAGTTGAGTATAATGGAAAAACAGTTTATACTGCTTCTGTTTTTGAGATTGAAATTAATAAATTAATTAAAATTTAAAACTCAGTTACACTAGCCACATTCTAACATCATTACAAGTGCTCAGCATTATAAGTGCTCATCATTACAACATGTGAGTGTTGTTGTTAAGTACAGGTGAGTCAGTTCTGATTCACAGAGACCCTGTATAGGGTTTCCTAGAAGCAGCTGGTGGGCTTGAACCACCAACCGAGCAGTTAGCAATCCAATGCTTATTCTGCAGCACCATACTAGGACTTCTGCAGTGCCACACAAGGATATGTGAGCAGTGGCAACCATATTTGGCAGTACAAGCTTAGATTCTACAAACATTTCCCATGGCATCCATCTAGAAAACAAAGGAGGCTGGGCAAAGTCCTGCACTTCTCTTACCTCTCAGCGGCTGTTCCTTGAATCACTTCATATACAAAAACCCCTGAACTCACATTAGGGAAATCTGGATCTTGCCTTTTCATTTCTTGCAGAAGGCTAAAAGAAATGAGAAGACTCTTCTCAGAAGGTTAAAAGGCACAATTCATCAATCTACCCAAACCATCATAAAATAGTCCTGGTGGCACTGTGGATTAAAGGCTGGGCTACTAACTAAAAGGTTGGTGGTTTAAACCCACCAGCTGCTCCATCTGTTTCCATAAAGATGTACAGCCTGGAGTCTGATAAAGCAGTTCTATTCTGGCCTGTGGGTCACTATGAGTTGGAATCAACTCCACAGCAGTGGGTTTGGAGACATCATAAAAGCCTTTAGTTCTTAGGAGGACTTGTAGCTATTCTCAAGGCTCAAAGCAGCCAATAAAGATTCCATCAAGTCAATGGCAATTATTCTTCCTTAGGGGTGGTGTAATTCCCTTAAGAAGGAGCCTAGAACCATTTGACACTATAACATACAGGTACATACTTCCCTTAAGTAAGGAGCTCTGGTAGCGTAGTGGTTACGAATCGGGCTATGAACCGCAAGGTCAGCAGTTCGAAACTACCAGCTGTTACGCATGAGAAAGATGAGGCTTTCTGCTTCTGTAAAGATTTACAGTCTCGGAAACCCTGTACAGGCTCGCTGAGTCAGAACTGACTCCACAGCACATAACAACTTCCCTTAAGTAGGAGTCTAGAACCATTTGACACTATAAAATACAGGTACGTACTTCTGTGACAAATAGAGCCTACAGTTAAGAGTTCGTAGCTGTTGTCCAAATGTATTAGCTTCCCTGTCAGCCTTAACTGTTGTCCTGTTGTTAAGTGCCGTAGAGTTCAGTTCTGACCCAACGATCCTGTATAGGGGTTCCAAAGAGCGGCTGGTGAGTTTGAACCAATCTTGCAGTCCAGTGCTTTATCCCATAGTGCCACACCAGGACTCCTTAACTATTCAGCTATGGCTTTTGCTTCTGAAAACAACCCAGACATATTCAAGTGCATGCTTACTTCATAGTGAGGGGCAACATTCTCAAACCCAGGTATTTCTTCTGTGAAATAACTTTTCCTAAGAGAAAGGAAAATTATAATGTCACTATCAACAGAAACTTCTTTCGACATAAAATACCCTTACAAGTAAAACTTCCCTTTCAGGCTGTCAGCAGTGAAATAACATGCTTCAGAAACACCTTTGTCATTAGCACATCTACTCCTCCCACTGGACTCCCTCCACTTCCAGTCCAGGCTGAGTTTTCATTTCCACAGTTGTTGTTGTTAAGTGCTGTCAAGCTGACTCTGACCCATAGCGACCCCGTATAGCATTTCCGAGGAACAGCTGGTGAGCTTGAACCGCCGACCTTGCAGTTCAAACAGCTTTGCCGTCTGGCGTATTAACCCACAGTGCCACACAGTTAACTCAAATACTCCTGGGTATAACTCATGCTTGGTTTCTGTGCCTAAGGCACCAATTTTGCTTCCCAAACCACCATGATAGGAACTGGACACAAGTGACCCAGGGCTTAGAGAAGTCAATTCACTGACTTCATAAAAGATTTGAGTGTTGCTGTAAAACACTCACAAAAAAATGCTGTTAAGTTGATTTTGACTCAGCAACCCCATGTGTTGCAGAGCAGAATTGTTCCATTGGAGTTTGTTGACTATAATCTTTAGAGTCTCTGGGTGATTCAGACAGTTTAAGTTCTCAAACACTAGCCAAAAAGGCAGCAGTTCAAATCCACCTAGAGGTACCTCATAAGCTATGCCTGATGAGAGGTCACAGCCTTGAAAACTCTATGAAGTACAGTTCTACTGTACAAAAATAGGGTCACCCCGGGTTAGACTCCATGACAACCACCAAAAACAATCTGTACATCACCATCACTGGTGAGTTCTAACTGCTAACCTTCAGGTTAGTAGCCACGTGGACCACCTGAGGACCTTTGTAAAACACAAGAGGAGTCAAAAAAAAACCTCCTAACTCTTTTCACCTTTCAGCTGGCGCTCATGGAAATCTGCCAAGAACTGTCGGATTCGATCCGAGGGTATTGCAAAAGAGATTCCTGCAGTCACCTTCAATGTATTTATGCCAATCACATCACCATCCTGGGAAGGGAGAAGGTATCATTCATTCAACAGGTTGTGTGCTAACTGATCATTATAAAACCACAAGAAAAGGAAGGGGTTGTTTTTGGTAAGTGCCGTCAAGTCGATTCTGACGCAAAGCGACCCTGTATAGGGTTTCTGAGGAGCAGCTGGTGAGTTTGAACCGCCAACCTTGTAGTTCAAATGGCTTTGCAGTTTGGCACATTAACCCACAGCGCCACACCAGGACTCCAAAGGAAAGGGTGAAACTAGTTATTTAGAGTCAGAAAACAGAGGGGCTAGAGGATACTACGTTGCAAGGCTAAAGCAGAGGGGATTTGCCAGAGTACAAAAGTCACTTATTGGTCTTGGTCAAAGGCTACTGAGGTTTTTTTGTTGGTGGTTATTTTTTGTTGTTGTTTTTGTCTAGTCTTGAACTCATTTTTGTCCTTCTCTAAATTATACTGCTTTTAAAAATGAACCACAAGGGAATCCAGACTTTCTGGAGACATGTTGTTAAATGCCATGGAGTTAGTTCTGACTCATAGCGACCCAGTTTCCAAGGAACAACTGTTGAGTTTGAACTGCCAACCTTATGGTTCAAACCAACCATGTTGTTGTTTTGTGCCGTGGAGTTTGTTCCGACTCAGTGACCCTGCATAGGGTTTCCAAGGCTGTAAATCTTTACAAGAGCAGAAAGGCTCATCTTCCTCACACAGAACAGCTGGTAGTTTCAAACTGCTGACCTTGCAGCTCGCAGCCCGATTCGTAACCACTACGCTACCAAAGCTCCTTAAACCAACCATAGCAGCTGGATAAATCCCTGAAACTATTGCCCTGAAAATGTTTCAACCTTAAACCAAATATGTTCTCCAAATTCTTTAAGCCAAGCAGTAGTTTAATTAGTAAACAATGTCTTTCTCAAGCATTGTGTTCTTTTAAAGAACTAACATGGGATCAAATTGACAACAGCAAACTGAAAATAAAGGAACCTTAGGGAGTAGTAGGAATCCTGGTGTGGCGCTGTGGGTTAAGGTGCCAGACTGAAAAGCCGTTTCAACTACAAGGTCGGTGGTTCAAGCTCACCAGCTGCTCCTCAGAAACCCCCATACAGGGTGGCTATGGGTCGGAACGGACTTCCCGGCACTTCACAACAACAACAAGGGAGTAGTAAGCTTATGTTAATTGGGGGAGGAGCAATTTTGAAAAAGAGGGTGATAGTAGTTGTACAGCTGGAAGAATTAATTAGTGTGGCTTCATTGTACATGTGGGAATTGTTGAGTTGATTTATGTTTTGCTGTGTACATTTTCAACAACAAAAATATTTTTTTAAGTGAGCCACAGTTTGTATTTTGACACAAATGAGAGCACAAGTAGTATTTGCCTTTTAATTACTTAAATAAATCTAACACTAAAGATGGAAGAGGCAAAAGCTGGTGACCTTCAGTAACACTTCAGTGTAACTGTTCAGTGGAATTTGCAAAATTATATGAGGGACCAAAGACTTGCTAAGTAGGAAATAGTTTCCGTCTTCATTACTTCCGCATCCTTTAGCCATTACTCTGTTAGGTAACAGAAGAGATAGAGAAAAAACTTCTGATTCTAAGTCAGTAGTTTTGGGGTGTAGCATGATACTATGCATTCCATCCTGTTTCCAGTATACTTTGTCTAATGAAAAAAGCAGGTGCAAAAAATTACATGTAATATCATGATTAAAAGTGCTCATTAATTCTACACACAACTCATCCTCCGAAAAACAAGTATAATTTACAGAGGGACCAAAATAATAAGCTCAAATTGACTATACATTATCACAAATTGTATGTGAAACGTAACTTCACTCTCATAATGTTTTCACTTGTATTTGAGCAACTTGAAACACTGGCATTTCCACTGGAGCAGCTGAATAAAGTTGAGATGTAAAATACACAACAGAGCAATGAATCCTTGTTTGGGCTTTTTTTTTTCATCATCTAAGTAAAGGAGCTCTGGTAGCGTAGCGGTTACGAATCGGGCTGCAAACCACAAGGTCAACAGTTCGAAACTACCAGCTGTTCCATGGGAGAAAGATGAGGTTTTCTGCTCCCGTAAAGATTTACAGCCTCGGAAACCCTGTACAGGGTCTCTATGAGTCAGAACCGACTCCATGGCACACAACAAGTATAAGCAGGTTAAGATTAAAAACATGGACAAGGCATATCATGTAATTCAGATTCTTGTGAAGATTTCTTAACATGCAGCTGCAGCAGGAGGTCTTCAATATACATTATATGGTACAACTGATCTTTTGTCATAAACTTGGATGACTATCCAATGAAAACAAAACATGTTGGAGAGAAAAACTTTGCAATATGCCAGAACCCTGGCAGCTCTCAGCTGGATGAGATCAAATACCCCCATGATAAATCCATTGTTGTTGTTGTAAAGTGCTATCGAGTCAATTCCAACCCATAGAGGCCCCTATATAGGGTTTCTGAGGAGCAGCTGATGAGCTTGAACCACAGACCTTGCAGTTCAAATGACTTTGCAGTCTGGCGCATTAACCCACAGCACCATACCAGGACTCCGTTGTTGTTAAGTGTCATCAAATCGGTTTTGACTCATAGCAAACCTCATAGGGTTTCTGAGGAGCAGCTGGTGAGTTTGAACCACTGACCTTGCAGTTGGAACAGACCTCGCAGTCCAGGGCATCATTCCACAGTGCCACACCAGGACTCCAAATCCATCATAGAACTTAAATTTTTCCTAATCATTTATTTAATATCCAAGAACAGAAACACATCATTCCACAAATCTCTATATAAGAGTGACACTCCTGTGTGCATCCTGGAACGTGTAAAGTCTTTGAGAATTAGGAAAAGACATGAAGCAACAAGGGAAATGGTCACTCACCAAGTTCACAAGAGGTCCCCCAGAGTTCCCATGCTGAAGAGGTTTGAAAAAATAAAAGCCATCAGTAAGACAATGAATGCGTATCTCCTTACTTATACAAAGGTTTACCAAACACATCTTACACTAAGGAGGCCCTATTTCTCCAAGACATGCAAAACTGAGCCCCCCCCATCAGTAGACATTTCTGACCAACCCTGAGAGACTCCCCAGTACTATGGATGCCAATTATCACATCATACAGGCTAAACATCCCACCCCTCTTGTAAGGCTCTACCTGAAATCTAGATCACCATAATAATAAAGGGGAAAAGAGATCACTGTGAGGTTTTCTTCTCATTGTACTGTCAGTATCTTATGGGCCACGTATGGTCCTCGTTTGTGACTTACATTAATTATGGCATCAGTCTGGATATAATCCATGTCTGAATCCTTCAGCCCCAGCTCTTTGCCCCCTCTCTGTGTAGTACTGACAATTCCTGCTGTCACTGTGTTCTGCAGAGAAAATGGACTGCCCAAGGCCACCACAAACTCTCCAGCCCGAAGGTCAGATGAGCTTCCCAGCAGCAATACAGGAAGGTCAGTCTGCACATGGGTAAGGAAAGATAAGGATGAAAAACAGGATCTACCAAATCTGTGTATGATACATACGAGGACACAATCATTATTTCGGCATTTATAGTCTAAGAATTACCCACACACAGAGATTCTATGATTGCCTTTTGCTTTTCTCAAATTCTACCTATGACCAGATTCTCACTAGTTAAAATGATCAACATCATCTCTACGATATGACATTATTGCTTTGTAGAAATTGCTGTAAGTAAACTATCAATGAAGTAACCAACAAACAGAAACTGACATTACCAATATACTAAACACCATCCCAGCTTAAAAGTTTACAGTCAGAGTTATCAAGCCACAAAGAGAAAGGAGATCACCCAGAAGTGCTTCTCCATCTTTAATGTGGATGCAGATAACCTGGGATATCATTAAAATACAGATTTTGACTCAAGTTGGTTTCTGAAAAGCTCTCAGATGACGTTAGCGCTGCTGGTAAAGGTACACTTTGTTTAGCAAAGACTTCAAAATATTCCTTAGCTAACATCTTAAAAAACAATAATTTAGGTTAACCAGTTAAAATGTGTTTTGTGTTCTTCTAAGATCTATCTGTGTGGGATTAAATTGACAACAGCAGCTCAAAAGTATTAGGTAGGAAACTTAGGGGACCGTGAATGTAAGTTAATGGAGAAGGAATAACTCCAGAAAAGGAGGGTGAAAATGGTTGCACAATTCAAAGAGTATACTCCGTGTCACTGAATTGTACGCAGAGAAATTGTTCAATCGGTGTATGTTTTGTTGTGTATATTCTCAACAACAGCAACAAAATACAATAAAAGCTGTGAAAGCCAGACCTGTGTAAGGAAGAAACCTGTCAGGAAAGAAATACCTTCCACTAAAATAAGTAATAGAAAAGGGTAAAACTGCACCGTATTAAAGGCAGAAAACTTGTGAGACCCGAAAGAAAACAAGATAGTCCTATCTCATTCTGGGTCTCATAGGTTTCACTGTAATTATTATTTTTTTAATTACATGTGTGACAGTTTTTGCTTTAAAATCACAACTCAAAGGGCATAAATAATTTTTTAATACAGGCACAAAACTGGAGTTGGCATACATAATAATTATGAAAAAATATTTCTTAGCATCTTGATATAACATAGCAAGCAGAGAAATATGTTTACCAGAAGCAGCATCTATTGAAGAATGATTTGAAGGAGAAAACAATAAACAACTTTTGAATAATTAATAGAAATTGTTATCAATGTACAGATAAGCAGGGAAGAAAATTAACAAAAAAAAAAAGAACACCAAAGAAAGGGAACTAGAAAAAAAAAAGTATGTATTAGGTAGAAATAGTAGTGTGGGACTGGGATGAAGGAGAAAATATCAGTGAATTGATGTTGTTGTTGTTGTTGTTTGCCGTCGAGTCGGATCCGACCCATAGCGACCCTGTACAGGGTTTCCAAGGCGGAAAACCTTAACGGAGCAGAACGCCTCATCTTTCTCCCGCGGAGCGGCTGGTAGTTTCGAACTGCTGGCCTTAAGGTTCGCAGCCCGATTCATAACCACTATGCTACCAGAGCTCCTTCAGTGAATTGATAAGAAGCCTCAAATATGCATACTGATTTGAGCCTTGAATACTCACATTTGGCTCAATCTTAATCAGTGCAAGGTCCAGCTTATGATCAATATCCTTGACTGTGGCTTCATACTGGGCCCCACTCTGGAGCTCCACCAGGATCCGCTGCCAGTTAGTAAGGACATGAGCATTGGTAACAATGAGCCCATCCTCAGATACTATGAATCCAGAGCCACTGGATGCAGGAATATCCTTGGAGCTGAGAGGTGACCTGTTTCAGCAAAACAAAATACCAAAGGGCAGAAACCTCAGGGGAACCAGTGGACACACAGGAACATCACATTTGATAAACATCTCTATCATGGTTTTCTCAGGTAGTTTACTTTTCCCTGTCTGTGTTTTCATTTCTCTATGTGTAAATGAGCTCTGCATGTAGTGCCTTGCTAGTTCCTATTCTACAGTGCAAGATATTGTAAGGTGGTTCCAACTCTCCATTTCCAGGGATACTGCCTTCTGAGCTAATCAGTACAGAAACCTTCAGGCCCTCTGCTTCAAAGAAACCTAACCTATTACTGTAGGCAAATGGGAGCCTGATGACACAGAATCAAGAACCCAAGCAAGGAGAAAGTCAAAAGATTTGAGTTAGGTTTCACTACTAACTGACCTTGTGACATAAGACAGATGATTCCCCCTCTCTCTTGTGTCGGGGTTTCCTTCCATGCAAACAAGAGGACTGGACAAGATCACCTTTAAGATGGCTTCTGAGAGGCTCTTACATCTGACCTTAACCTAGAGCAGGTTATTCAACCTCTTTGCGCCTGGATTTCCTCACTGCAGTTATTAATGCTATTAAATGGCGCTTACAAAACCATCCTGGTGAAGTGCTGTGTAATGAAACACTCGACGTACGGTTCAAACTCACCAGCCGCTCCTCGGGAGACCCTATTCTGGGTCGCTATGAGTCGAACCGACGGCACTAAACAACAGCAAAACACAGGGCAAGTCAGTTCCAACTCATAGTGTCCCTGTATAGGTTTTCGCAGGAGCAACTGGTGGGTTTGAACCGCCAACTTTGTGGTTAGCAGTCCAGGGCTTATCCTACAGCGCCACACAAGGGCTCAACTCCCCAAAGCAGTCATTGGTGGTAGCAGATTTCCTCTTCCTACGTCCTTTACCTGCGGAACAGCTGCAAGTGAACCACAGATGGCGCCACCTTCTCCACCACAGCAGCGATAAAGTTGTACTTGCTCCGGAGCAGGCCTGCCCTTCCGATCCCTGTGAAGAAATGCTCTGTTCCTGTGGGTGGAGGGGATCCTCGCTCCCTTACCACATAAGGTGTCCTTTCTCAATTGTCTCCGTCCCTCTCTCCTCCCACTCTTGCCTTCCTGTGTTCGGTCCTTTACACCTATTTGCTCAATGAGGTCCCTCGAGGCTATGCTTTAAGGGGAACAGCCATGTCATCCTGGCTGAAAAAAAAAAAATTTTTTTTTTTTAAAAGGGAAAAGAGCATTCAAATGATGTAAAAAAGACAAGGGAAAGAAAGCGCCTGGGAACTAACAAACAAGCACCTGTTAGAAAGAAAATTAGGAACAAGAATATGAGGCAAATCGGACTTCAAGGAGGACCCCTCAACGAACTGTGTGCGTGAAATACAGTAATGTTTGTTTGTTGTTGTTAAGTGCCGTCGAGTCGGTTCCGACCCGTAGCGACCCTGAACAGGGTTTCCGAGGCTGTAAATCTTTACGGGAGCAGAACGCCTCATCTTTCTCCCGCGGAACTGCGGTTCGCAGCCCAATTCGTAACCACTACACTACCAGAGTTTGTTTACACTCCTTTAAAACTAACAGGGAAAAAAAAAAGAACCCTGGGAGAGCAGGCAGTTCCCGGCTCACCTGGGTCCCTGCAGTCTCCTTTCTGCACGGGCACGGCAGGGAGCGCGCCGCGGAGGCGTGCGCCGCGGTTCTCGGCGCGGAGCGCGCACAGGCTAGGATAGGTGCGCCCGTCGCTGCCGCACACTTCCTCGCCCAGCTCCGGGCAGCCACAAGTGCCGAGCCACGAACTGCCGACGCTCCCAGGCGCAAGGCACTGCAGGCCCGCCGCACAGGGCCGGCCACGGGCTCCGCCGCACGCCTCACCCTCAGCCGCCGCGCAGACTCGGCAGCAGCGACAGCGGTCCAGCACCGGCGCCACTCCAGCCGAGCAAGTGGGCAACGGAGGGCAGCGCGTCGGATCGCAGGTCGCAGGGCAGGGTAGTGAGGTCCTGGATCGCCTAGCTTCTACCCTGGGCACAGGCACCAATGGCAGCAGCAGCCACATCAGGAGGTATTGCCCGAGCCCAGTGACATGTAGTTGAAATCCATTCATACTGCTCCTTTCCTTTTTCACTTCTTTTCCAGTGATTGGCCTCTACACCCACTAGAACTCTAAAGGAAAGCAACGCTTCCTTCTGGATAGGGTGCCACCTCCGCAAACCCCTGGCAGTCTGGCAGACCTCTCCACACACTCCCCATATATCCCCCTGCCCTCCGCTCCAGGTCCACCCCCAGGCAATAAAAAAGTACCCCAGCTCTACCCTGAGAATGACCTACCTCATGAAATCCATAAAACCAACGGGGCAGATGATCACCCACTCACAGAGTTCAGCGTTATGAAAACATAGCACCATAGTCGTATTTCAATATTTCACATGGTTTTATTACAAAACAAGCAACAACAGTTTTAGAAAATTATTTTATTTGCTACATACCAATTAGAAGATCACATAAAATGAGAAGCATAATAGTTTCCATGCACTCAGCCCAGTACTTACAGCGAGTGCATTTCACAGCTGAAACATACTTGTTCCAAGCACAAAATCATGCCACACCTTCAGCAGTGGGAAGGGGTCAAGCAGTATGTATTCGCCAGACATAAGTATTACTCAAATTCTACCTAGCACCATGAGACTAATTGCTACAAGCACTAACACAGATAAGAGAGGAAATCAGAATAGCAGAAAAAGTGATGCCAGTTGAAAATGTTTTAATGTATTGGTCCATTTCTGACACGTTCAAAATTTTATCGACAAAGTTGGATTAGGGAAACTCAATTTCTAAACTGCTATCTCCTCCATATGCCTGTTATCTGATTAATAGTGAGAACAAACATTAAATCCCTACTACTCAGTGACTTGATCTATTTTTTCAATGGGTCATTTTAGCCCATTATCAGAGTGAAAGAAAAAACCCTTTTATTTCAAATGAGTGAAGACACTGAATGTTAAATCTGTTTTTTCTCAGCAAAGTTCATTCTCAGAAACATAAGTTTAACTCCAATATTCTGACCTGAGGGTACTATTGCTAAGTGCTGTTCCAAGGAGCGGCTGGTGAGCCTGAACCACCAACCTTGACATTCAGACCATCCTTGCAGTCCAGCGCATTAACCCACTAACGGCACACCAGGACTCCTGAGAGTACTGTTGTTAAGTGCCGTCGAGGAGGTTCTGATCCATAGCAACCCTGTATAGGATTTCCAAGGAGCAGCTGGCGAGCTTGAATCACCGATCTTGCAGTTCAAACCAACTTTGTAATCCAGTGCATTAACCCACACACCACACCAGGGCACAATCCTTAATAGTACTCTTGTGATGTCTCACAGAATGTAAAAAGTTCAACTATTTTTACCAGTCATCAGCTGTCTTTGAATAAGCAAGTCCTTCAAAGCTTTCAACAATGGTGTCTGGCTTGGGTGGCAGGGAAGGTAGTATATAACAAGAAAGAGGGTGGTAGAGGAAAGATGAAGGTAGCAGAAGACACAAGGAGGGATGCAAGAGATAAAGTAAATAGAGGTTAATACTGTTAACTGATGGCACAGGTGTATGATTTATTGAATGTAAAACAGACAGTCTGCTGTATAAACCTTAACTCAATTCACAAATTTTAAAAAGGAAAAAAACCCAGAATGTTGTCTGGTAAAATAGTTCGACTGTAAAGAAGACCACCTGAAATCCTGTTATACGTGTTTGGGTTAAAGTTAAGTACCAGCTCAAAAGCCTAATGAAAACAGCACAACTCAGTAAAGGTTTTTATTCCACAAAGAAAATGCCGTGCCTTTCCTGGTTCCTTTTTATTGTTTTAGCTGTTAGCTCAGATTTATTTCAGAGTTCATGCATTTTATCACTAATTTATACTGCATATCTACTCTATGTTTTTCCCATTCAGTTCCATTTTCCATTTGGTTGTATATACACGCAGCACCTTTGGCTAACATGTGTACTCACATTAGTAGTGTGGTATGAAACTAGCCAGAAGGTAAGAAACATGAGCCAAAATAGGAAGTCTAAAATAAGGTTTGGGAATGTGAATATTTTTTTTTAAGATGGCTTCATTGAAGATAACTATTATTTATACATAATGTTAAAACTACATTAATAGTTGATGATGCATGAAGGGGACTGTAACCATGGTAATGAAACGATATATGGTAGGATGAATGTAAAGCTAATGCTCTCCCATGTAAACTATCACATAATTCACAATAAACATTAAAAAAAAAACCACATTTAACCATTCTCATTTGGGATTCCCAAATTCTAAATAAAATTTGTCACATCTCAATTAACCTTTTTCCACTCGATGAAGATAACAATCTAGATTTATAAGTATGTATAATTCACACATTCTCAAATAGACTTTACTGACTACAAAACAAATCAGTTTACTGTCAATGACCAATTAATTTAGTAGTAACAACCTAGCAGGAAGTGTATTTAAGAAGTTTTTATAACTTAAATACCAAAAGAGGACATATTTCCCATGAATCAATGAATGTTTAGAGCAAGATTTAAAAGTTCATTTATTTTCATTAGCTTAACGTCACTTAATTTATTTTCATTAGTTCAACATCACATATTGCACACTTGCTTTGACTAGCCTAAGGGTTTTCTTGAGGAAAATTTAACAGCACTCTTGAAATCAGGCTACTTAAAGTATGTTGTAATTTCTTTCGATCATACAAAATTAAACAATTCCCAAACTAAGTGTTTCTGAGGACAAAAGTACACAAAATCTGTAGAAAAGACAAGAGAGCAAGACTGACTGATTCAGTGTAACTTTCCCTTTTTTACTACCAGAACCACTAAGCAAAATGAAGGTTAAATTACGAATAGTGCCAAAGCAGTACTGTGAAGAGAAGTTCTCAACACGATACAGACATCAAGAAGGCTGCAAAACCTCAAAAAAGGATGAAGATTTCTCTCAAGCTAAGACTTTTCTGATTAAGTATTCTTAGCCTGCACAGTAAATTGGTACACAAAGAAGGGAGATTTATTTTGATAAAATTACATCTTTTCATCTCTTCCTCTAATCATTAATTTTTAATTAAAAAATGCAATTTATCTAGCTGATAATATTTAGAGACAGAAATGAACTAAGATCTCTCTCCCCATAGAGAACCTGAAAAAGTTACTGGTTGCAATCTGCCACATTAATTGGATGGACAAATTATTCTGCAGACACAAAAAACAGGATCTTGTCAAATGGAAGGTCTATCCTAAAGTTGGGTAGAAAATTCATTCTTTTGTGCTTTTATACCTGGGAAATTTCTAACAAGAATTTCATAGCCTCTAATTCAGTGTTTCTATTTTATTAAAAATATAAATCTCTCTCAAGATTATCTTTGTATCTCTTAGCTGTTAAATATATGAAGCCTCATCAGATTACAGGATTTAATCATGCGAGTTTACAAGGTATCATTCAAAAGACAATACAAAGAATAAAAAGAAAGTAAGTCTAGCAAGATATAAAACACACAGCACTTAAAACTAGGTGAGTAATGGCCCATACAAAAATTTTTTTTAAAGAGCAGTTAGGCAAGGATTCAAGATCATGTTTACTAAAATAGACCTTTTCTTCTGCCTGGAAAACATGGACCACAAAAGCTTCACAGAACCAGCTTTAACAAGAATCTAAAACTTTGAAATAGAGATCTGATATATAATACATGTGAGTTATCATATGCTTATCAACCACATATTCCTTGTTCTCAACAAACATGACACTTAACACTGATAAATCCATCCTTGGGGACTGATACAGAAACTGGATGAGGAGGTCTGTCACTCTCTCATGTCCCAATATGGACTCTATCATATTTGAACATCTAGAAAAGAGCATCTAGAATAGAATTCTTGCCAAAATTGTTTGATGCATTGGGGTTGATTATTCCTCATATCCTACAGAAGATCCCTTTCTCTCCCGCTATGAAGTCCCCTTGAGAGTCTGTCCTAGAAGACATTCTGAGGACTACTTTCTAGCCTCAGTCCTCAGACTTTGACAACTTCCTCAGAACAGATCCTAGTCAAACTGAAGTCTGACTCTTCCACCATCGCTACCTTCTCATTTCAGCTGGGTTAGTTACCACCCTCCTATTTCACAGTCTAACTTAAGCCAATAAACAGGAATTAGACAAAACCAGATGACTGGCCCAAGATTCAGAACTTGGCCTGAAAACAAAATGAACATAAAACAAGGACAAGGAAATCAAATTTGGCTAGGGGTGAAACTGGACTCCCAACCTCCCCTGGACAGGAGTTTCTATAATAACCCCTTACCAAGAAGACCTTAGAATAGTCAACAAGAGGCAACCTGCTCTCCACTGAGCATGTCTAAAGTTCTAACCTAGTGATTTTCCCAGATTAAATATATAGCATTGATAGTTTAAAAAAAAAAAAAAGCCAGCAGGATGGGCCCACAGAGAATCCACAGGAATATGAGTGCTCTGAGTATCCACCAACAAGACAGAGAAAGCGATTCATGACCTCCTCCTCTTGATCCCTCTCTTCGTCCCCCACCCCATAACATTGTGCCTCATCACACATCAGAGGTCCGTATATTTTCATCATCAAGGTTGAACATGAATGGTTTCTCCTTAGGGTGCTGGGGCTCCGATCGATGCCTTATCCGGGAGCTTGCCAACATTCCAGCAGCATTGCTCTCCCCAAGTCGAGGCATGAACAAAGAGTCCTCGGGAGTCTCTTCAGCTGGAAGCAGCTTTTCCCCAGCCTGGGGGACAGGTGTCCATGGTTGCCAAGATGAGGCCACGGAGGGGGCTTTGCAGAGGGTTTTTTTCTCTTCCACAGGTGGCCGCCCTCTGTACAAAACAGAGTTTGGTCCACCTGAAAGACTGGAGCTTCCGGGTCGAGTCAAAGAAATTGATCTAGAAAAGGCGGTTTCCTACAAAAATAAAAAGGAAAAATAAACAAGCAAGAAAAGTGAAGGCTTTGCCTTACACAGTTTATCCTAAAGTCCTAGTAAAAGCACCAACCCAGGATCATCACCTCAAAGATCCAATGACCTTTGTCTATAAAAATCAAATATATCCAGTGGAATTTACTCTAGATGTGTGTCTGACTTACTTGGGTGTCAAGATGTGCCTAGCAGCAAGACTTGTAGGACACATCAAAAACTCCACTTCTCTACCCAACCCTACCTCACATCTTTCAACAACCAAAATTAAAAAAAAAAAAAAAAAAACAGAAAATAAAAGTCGTGCCCAAATCCGTAGAAAGAAAAACAAACATGACAGCCCAGGGCTTCAGCTCATCCAGGACTGAAGACTGGGCTGCTTGCCTACATCACCAAATAAAACATGCCCACTCAAGGAGAATTCATCTCTAAATTGACACTAACTGTGAGACAGAAAGGAAGTGACTTACTCTGGGATGGCACTTGAGGGCCTGGACAGCTGCCCCAATCTCCTTAATCCAGCTGTGCATGTCTTCAGGACTGTCAGCCTACAAAACATCCACAGCATTATACAGACATTTTTGGCACTGTGATTTCTACTTTTGACTCTCTGACTCAATTCTGAAGTTCATAAAATCACACTATTAGAGTTGGAAGGAACCTCAGAGTTTATCTAGTCAAGTGGCTTTCCAACTTTTGAGAATAAGTTTTTCCTGCAAAATCTTCTTTGACATGTGCTGTGGGATAAGCACTGGAATTGCTAATCGTTAAAGTCAGCAGTTCAAGCCAACCAGCCGATATTGGGAAACCCTATACAAGGTTGCTATGAGTCAGAACTGACTCAGCAGCACTTATCAATAACAGCAACATGGAAAACACATGTTAGAATTGTTGTTGTTGTTGTTAGGTGCCATCGAGTCAGCACTGACTCATAGCAACCCTATGCACAGCAAAACGAAACACTGCCTGATCCTGGGCCAACCTTACTACTGTTGCTACGCTTGAGTCCATCAATGCTGCCACTTGCCTAATCCATTTAGTTGGGGGTCTTCTTCTTTTTCTCTGACCCTCCACCTTACCAAACATGATATCCTTCTCCAGTAACTGTTACCTCCTGACAATATGTCCAAAATAGGAGAGATGAAGTTTGGCCATCTTGGCCTCCAAGGAGTACTCTGCCTGCACTTCTTCCAAAACGGATCTATTGGTTCTTTTGGCGGCCCATGGCACTTTGAATATTCTCCTGCAACACAACACCATAGCTCAAAAGCATCAATTCTTCTCCAGTCTTCCTTATTCACCATCCAGCTTTCGCATGCATATGAGGTTACTGAAAATACCATGGCTTGGGTCAGGCACACCTTAGTCCT